GCTGATGCGATGGCGCCTTGGACAAGGAACTCTGCTTCTGGGTCCCCAGTCTCCTCTTGGGGAAAATGAGAGACAGCTGGGAAGCAGAACCCCTGGGCCCAAGGCAGCAGCCAGCTGGTTCTCTGGGACCTCACCCAGTCTAACAGCAGGGTTCAAGTGCTCCACGTGCCTCCTCCGCTTTCCCTAGTCAGACCGTCCTGCGGCACAGCCCTGCCCCTCAAAACCAGGAGCCCCAAAGCCTCAGGGTAAACAGGAACCAGGCTGACCAGGAGCTGACCAGGCCAGGAGTGTGGCCACAGTGTGCCTGAGCCCCAGAGCCAGCCCCGCTACTTCATGGGCAGCGGCCACTGCTCACCAGGAGGAATCCCGCTAAGCTGTCAACACCGAAATCAAACCATGGGTCCACTTGACCCATCTTGTCATGCGACGTGCCGAGGCATGACACACTGTCCATGCTGAGTGGGAGCAACAAAGCCAGAAGCAGAGGGCGGGAGCCAGGAGGACAGAGGCAGTGTGCCCAGTCCATGGAGCAAAAGCGCCTCCAGGTCTTCAAGTCACATCCTCCATCTGGAACAGATTCAGTCAAAGAAAGGAGGGACCACAGGAAAGAAAATGGTGACCACCCCATGTCTTGCCACTGTCTGGCAGCAGGGRGCGAGACACAACATCAGAAACCCACCCGAGGGGAAGAGGGGCCCAAGGTCAAGAGTGACAGGCCCTCACCGCAAGTGGGTTAGATGGAAAGGGGTCTTTCTGCTACACGGTAGGCTTTGTCTCCAGCCTATTCTCAGCCTTCATTATCATTTGGAAATGAAATTTGATGGGGTCGCTCTTGGGAGGGGGGAGTTCAAAATACCTCTTTACCCCCAGCCACACTTTTGCGCCACAGAACCCCTAACTTCAGCCCCGTCACTGAAAGCGATTCCTTCTGCTGAGAAGCCGGCGACCAGGAAAAGGAGGCCGAGCAGCTGGCGTGTGCCCCTACCGGGTGTCCCTGTGACCCCTGTCCTTCAGAAGACCTACCCGGGGCAGGGGCAGCTTTGTCTTAGCTTTCACAGTTATTTCAGAAACTTGAAAGAGACTACAGAAGTATTCACGCACAGACCCGCTCGACTGCAGGAAAGAAGGCTGGGCTGAGAGGCCCGGCGAGAGGGAGGAGGCAGCCTCCAGTCAGGGTCAGCAGAGCGACACCAGCAAAACTCAGGGAGCGGGGAGCAGGTAACAAAGGACGCCCACCTCAAGTGCCCCGGCACTCCAGCACCAGGCCACAGCCCACGAAGGACCAGTGGTCATCTTGAGAGGCCAGGCTTCCTGGGAAGTCCCCAGATGAAAACCAAGAATTGGAGGGTAGCCCAGAGACCCACTGCCCAGGTCAACTGCTGGCTCAAAGAAAGGTCCAGTTTCTTGCAGMATGAAGACGGGTCGGCAGGAGCCCCGGCACCACAGAACCTCTGACCACAGCTCAGCTCGCCTTTTCACCAAACTCTCCACGTGACTTGTGGATGGMTCACTTATTCAGTTTTGTCCTACAAATTGAAATCAAGTCACTCTTAAAGCAACCTCTTCAAATTGCTTTCGAAATGGTGCAGACCTTGCGGTGCTCCTGGTGTGTCGTGGCCACACTTACCCATCATCTTCAGCACCTTCGTTTCACGGGTGCGCTGCCCCTCACCTCAGTTCCCTGCCTGGCCTTACCTGTGCCCCACCTGGATTGTCACAGCCAGATCCCCGGCCATYGGAGCCTGTCCCAGAAGAATAGTCAGAACGGAGGTCCAAGAGGCAGAGAAGGCTTCACTCAGAACTACGGCCTCTAAAGTGAGCAGCCACTGTGGGAAACAGGGTGTGGTGCCATTCCCCGGAAATCAAAGAATCACCCTATGATCATGAGTTACTCTCTGGACACACACCCCAGAGAATTTAAATAGGAACTCCAACAGGTGGTGGACACCTATGCACCCATCACCATCATCCCCAATTACCACAGCCGGAAGGAACGTAAGTGTCCATCAGCCCGTGAACGGAGAAGTGAAACGGCGGGTTTGGGGCGGGTGTACGTATACAGACACACACACAAAGGATATGAATTAGCCTTAAAAAGAAAGGAGATTCTGGGCTGGAGATATGGCTCAGTTGGTAGAGTGCTTTCCTGGCATGCACAAGGCCCTGGGTTCAATCCCCAGCACCATTAAAAAAAAAAAAGAAGAAGAAGAAGAAAGGAAATTCTGATGCCACACAGATGAACCTTAATGATGCTAAGTCACAAAAGGGACTGCAGGACTGTGGCTTCTGGGAACTGGAATGGGGGCCCTGAGGAGGGGTAATAGGGAGTCTCAAGGGTATAGAGTTCCAGGAGGCGAGGATGCAGTTCTACCGATGAGTGGTGTGGACAGTTGGAGAACAATACGAATGTACTTAGCACCACTCTATACACTTGGAAGTAGTTGTGTGTATTATRTAACGTGATGATCGCTCTGACACAGGAAGCAGAGGATGACACTTGGTCTATGGAAGGAGGTCTAGACTCACCCAATTTACTTGAGCTTTTGTTAGTCAGCTCTCCATTACTATAACAAAAATACCTGACAAGGACAACTGAGGAACAGAGAAGTTCATTTTGGGCTTTCAGCTCATGATCAGCCAACTCCACTGCTCTGAGCCAAGGTGAAGCAGAGCATCATGGCACAAGGGCGTGGGGGAGGCACGCTGCTCAGCTCAGCTCACTGCAGCTGAGAAGCAGAAAGAGAAACGGGGAGCAGCTAGGAGCAAGGTACAGTCCAAGGCCACCCCCCTGATGACCTGCTTCCTCCAGCCATGCCCCACCTGCTTTCGTTACCACCCAGTAGCCATTCAGATTGTCAAATCCATCAAGTGGCTTAATCCACTAAAGAGGTTACGGCTCTCTGYAGTTCACCCTTTACCCCTGAACACTACCCAACACTGAGGTTTTCAGGGGACGCCTCATGTCCAAACCATAACAGAGCCCATACTGAAACTCCTCTAGGCCTCAGCCCCACACCCCTGAGTGAACGCAGCAGGGATCCAGTGGTCTGAACTGGCACCGAGCCCAACTCTGCCCTTCTGGGGGTGCAGGTGTGTGCCCCTGGCGTCGGGGCCATGACTTTGCTTGGATCCCCACTGAAGACCCGCTGACGGGAACAGTTCACCTCTCGGGGCTCTTCCAGCCCCAGGCATTATAAAGACAGAAGCCTGCAAACAGTCACAGCCTCCCCACATCTGGAACCTGGACGTCCTCTGATCCTTAAATAGACCCCGTGAAAACGGGCAGCTGCCTGGGAGGGGAAGCAGCCCCACCGCACACCACCCAGCGGGTTTGCTCCCAGCGGGTTTGCTCCGACCCGGCCCTTCCCTATTCGGGTAGAAAACCCGAGCCGGGGGCGCACGGCCCTGAGGAAGCCTCGGTCCTGGGATTTGGTCACCTTGTCCCGTGGGCAGGGGGCTGCGGAGGGGAAGTGAAGGGGTGAGGGGTCTTCACTGATATCGACAGAATACCCGGACCCCCCATATTTCCTTGGCCCAGAAACTCTCGGAGCCAACAAGCCCACGAGGAGCCATCACGCGCGCCTTCTCAGTTACATCTGAGTCCGGGGTGCGACTTCTCTCCACCCTGGACACGAGACCACGGGAAGAACCTCTTTCCCAGAGGATTTTGCGAATCTAGTCTTCACCTCATCACCCGAAGAAAGGCGCTCACCCTACTGACCTGAGAAGAACGACATCAGCCGCTGGCCTGGGAACACCCCGCACAGTGAGGACAGGGGGCGGCCACCACGTCCGCGGAAGGCCGCTCTCCTGGCCCTGTTCCCCTGTGTAAAGTCACAGAGGCTCCTCAACCTAGGACAGSTTACAACCGGATAAAGCCATGGAAAGCTGGAAATTGTCATAAGCCAAAAGCACACATTTACTCACCCACAGGACACGGCAGCACAGCCGACTGCTCAGAACGCTACGGTGGGGTCGAGTCATTTAAATACAGAGCTGACCTTATGACAGAGTGCCGAGTAGCTCATGTGGTCCATTGAATACTGAGGTGACAAACAGAAGGACAGGCGGGCCTGCTCCCACACCATCGAGAGTTGAAAAGTCAGGGCTGTGGGGAGACTAATTTCAGGGGTGCATCAGATCCTTATGGGAACAAGCCCAGTGTGCTCCAAATTTGGCTCTAGTTTTGCTGAGTTAAAATCAGAAACCACTAATGAATGGTTTTTCCTGAGAGCAGACTTCTAATGCACAGGTGGACTCAGAGTCAGGCTGAGACTTACTGACATTCAGTACCCTTCCTTTAAGCGAAAGACGGGTGATTATAAGGGCGTCTTGAAATAAGGGACCCTAAAAGAAAAAAACAGTTCAGGAAATAACTGAAACATTGAAGGAGAAAAGGCTCTAAATGTAAGGTCCAGAGGTTGTATTATGATTGCTTCCACTGCACAGTGGCCAGCAGGAGGATTTATTTCTCATGGCTACCCTACCTTCCAAATCTGTCCTGACCTGGGGCAGCCACCAAAAGCCCTTYTCCTCCCCGGAGGGGAGGCCCGTGCGCCAGCTGTTCACTCTCTAGTTGGGGTCCARCCACTCCGAAGAACCCTCAGTCCTGTCCCCACATTTCTAGCCTTCCTACGGCACCACGTGGCCAGCACCAGGCTTCCTAGACAAAAGGCTTAACTTGAGAAACAAGGAACGTGACCCTGGTTGTCTTTAATCCTCCAGTGCCTCTCGTGTGTTTARTGACTTTTGGGTCAGAAACTCAGCCTTCCAAATGCAAAGGATTTAGCTGGAAGAATTTTAATCAACAGTCTCAGATATGATTTAAAAAAGAAATCTTTGTAAACCACTAAACTTTATTCCAAAAATGCAATCTATTGTGGTTAGTCCTGCCTGAGACTGCTAATAATTGTGGATGCAAAAAGTATGCACCACAGAAGTACTGTGTAGGCCACCCTCGGGTTCACCAGTTACCCACTAATGCCTTGCCCCTCCCACAGGCAACCCCCCGGCCACCGGCACTGGGACCCTGCTGATAACCCTGGAAGACGTGAACGACAACGCTCCCTTCATCTACCCCACCGTGGCCGAGGTCTGTGACGATGCCAAAAACCTCAGTGTGGTCATTTTGGGAGCGACAGACAAAGACCTTCACCCAAACACAGATCCTTTCAAGTTTGAGATCCACAAGCCAACCGTCCCTGACCGAGTCTGGAAGATCTCCAAGATCAACAGTAAGTGGCTGGAACATTGCACTCACCTCCGGGTCCGAACTTCGATTCTCTGCTTCTCTTCCCAAAATCCTCTTCCTCCCCTACTCTCTGGGTTCTCGGGGTTTAAGTTACTCATGCATTGTAGAATGCTGACGGTTTCCTTTGGCATGCACTTATTTATTTGTTTGTTTGTTTATTTATTTATTTTGGTATTGGAGATTGAACCCAGGGGTTCTCAACCACTGAGCTGCACCCCAGCCCTCTTTTTATTTTTTAATTTGAGACAGGGTCTCTCTAAGTTGCTGAGGCTGGCCTCATCCTTGCCATCCTCCTGCCCCAGCCTCCTGAGTCCCTGGGATTACAGGCATGTGCCACTGCACCCAGCTGGATAGTTTTCCTACCAGCAATTGAATCCAATCCACTGAAGATCAGTTGCTYAGAACTGCAAACGTGGAAGTTTCCTCCTCTGCTTCCCGCCCTCTATTTGCAGTCTGTCCCCAGCATTCCTGTACCAACTGTAGTCTCGGCCACCCACCCTGCCCAAGTGGCCAGTTGTAAGATGGTCGCTCTGGGCTCTCCCTCTCTCCTCTTGGTGTTAATTGAACTCCACATGGTCTTCCACKCGGCTGCCTTGCACAGAATACTGGCCAGCCACCCCAGTCTTGAGCCTTCCAAAGCCAGGGCCCCCTGCTTCTCCCCACCTGTCTCTGGGCTCAGGGTCTCCCATCCAGAGACAGAGAACTGTGAACGTGCCCCAGCACTTTGGAGAGATGCTCCAGGGAGCTCCAGCCTGCATAGGGGGCTCAGAACAGAAGGAACTGGACCAAGAAGCTACGCGGTCTTCAGCCCCACTCTAGCTTTATGCTGCCGCTTCCCCAGCTGGGGGTAATGTGGGGATCACCTTGGCTGCCATTGTCCCCGGGACCTTCTCCCAGGTCCCCCTCTCTCATTCGTGAAACTCACAGGGCTCTTTCTCCCCGTCTTCCCACATTTGACCCAGCGTTTATCGTCTGCCTTATTAATTACGAAGGGCCCTTTTCCAGGGCCTCACCCACTTTCCTCAATGAATGTGAACCAAGTTCACCTTCTAGAAAAGAAAAAGAAGAAAAAAGAATCCCACATAGGAGCGCATCAGATAAACCCTCTGTCCAATGCCTCAGGGATGAACCCGTCCTGCTCTTGACCTGGTCAGGACTCGCATTTCACATCAGCGGTAGCATTTTTAGGGGCAGGGAACGGCCCATCTCATTACGTGCCAACGTGCCGTAGGACTGCGCAGACTCTTCTACYACAGAGCCTCCTCCGTGGTGRCYGCCCTGCTCAGAGCTCATGTTATCRGAGCCTCTCTCATGCTGTTGATTCTATTTGCCTGGTCGTCTATTTTATTGCTTTTTAAAGAATGAACTCTGTTCCACTGATGATTTTTAATTAGAACAGCCCTCCTCTTGTTGGAGGGCTTGGGCTTCCCTTGCTCGTTTCTGTGGCTGTAGCTGATTTTTGTGACCATCACCAGTTCTTTCCGACTGGAATTTTCCCATCCAAGAGTCTCTTCCCGACATCCCCCACAGGACTCTGCCATTCCACAGGTGGCCGTCCTCCCGCTGAGGATGATCGTCCTTGGTTCATATCATCCCTCTCTTGCCCTCCCGAGTGATTGAAGAGATGAAAGCCTTCTACACTGATCTTGTTTTCCCCGGGTTGTTTTCTGAATATTTAGCACCAGAAAGGAGCCATTTGGGGAAATATCATAGTCCTCCGAGTGACTAAAAGGAGAAGAGCCCCAACCCCAGGGACAGGACAGATGGGGCCTGCTCCTGAGTGCAGCCCAGTGGTCAGAGCAGGTCCTCCCTCGCTCCTGAGATTAGGAGAGTGGAGAGGAAGCCCAAAGATCCCGTCCCCGTGTGTCGTCCTCACCCAGACCTAGGGCTGTGGCTAAGGATAGACAAAGCCCAGCTACAGAGCCCGTCTCCATGACAGCGCCTGGCGCCTGCTCGGATCTGAAGTGGCGAGTTTTCACACGAGCCATGCCAGTGCGGAGGGCGGTCTTGGTGGAGATGGCTGGAGAGGAGGAGTAAGTGTCCAGAGGAGTTCTTGGTTCTTGATCACTTCAGACAGCAGCCCCCTCAAAACTGGTCATAACAGCTCCGAAGCGTCCACCCTGTAGGAACAGAAGTGTCCCTCCMGGCACTGTCCCACAGAGGAGCCACCAGCCACCGATGGCCACAGGGCATTTGAAATGTGGCTTCTGCCACTGAGGAACTGGATTTGTATTTTTACTTGACGTTCCTGGGTTTCAATGTGGGTGCCCCCGTGGCAGGGCTTCTGAGCGCAGGCCTGTCATGTGGGGTTCAGTCACCCACCCCTCGGTCTCCGCCGGGAGAAGCCTCACCTCCCCCGGGGGCCCCTTGTCTTCACAGACACSCACGCCCTGGTCAGCCTGCTTCAGAATCTCAACAAGGCCAACTACAACCTGCCCATCATGGTGACAGATTCGGGGAAGCCGCCCATGACGAACATCACAGATCTCAGGGTACAAGTGTGTTCCTGTAAGAATTCCAAAGTGGACTGCAACGCAGCGGGGGCCCTGCGCTGGAGCCTCAGCCCCGTCCTGCTCCTCTGGCTCTTCAGTCTAGCTTGTGAGTCGGCCCCCACCCCTGTGCATGCGCCCTGTGGACAGGGACGTCCCCACACTCACAGCCCGTTTGTCTTCCCTTCTGATTTTGCTGTTTTTCTGTTGTCGTATATCTTTCCAAGAAAACTTATCCCAGAAGAAGCATTCCTCCTTGGTTTCTGTCCGTAGGATAGAAAATCTTACAAGTAAAAGTGCTCCAGCTAATGTGTAAAGGCACCTTAAAGGTCCCCTGCCAGCCTTCTGAGGAGCTGTGACAGGCACTCCGCTGGCCTGCGACCCAGGTGACAAGCAAAGCTTCCTGCAGATGCCACTCAGCTGGAGCTAAGGAAAATGCGCCCAGATGGGTGACTGGCCCACCAGGGGCCTGTCTCTGTGTGGTGCAGGACGATCCCTTACAAGGTCAAGGCCTTTCTAAGAACAGTCCTCCGAAGCCGGGCGGGGGAGGTTGGTATAAGGAAAGATAAATTTATCATTCACACGTTTTCCCGCTGATCAGTAGTAATGAATATGATATAATGAAATACTACTTTTAACAAATGAATCATGCTGGGTAGTACACATGTGAGCACAATGTGAGCAAATCTGGCCAACTCCTTGCTGCTTGTRGAACATTAACTAGCACCGTTTCAGCCTTGACAGTTTTTCACARCAGCTATGCCATCCGAAAGACCCTGGGGCCTTGGTGTTTACATTTGGGGAAATTACTGGCGTATCTGGTCATTAGGCCGAGGGGAAGTGGGCAGAGGAGAGGTCAGCAGGCCTTGCTGCATCCTGAGAGGGCTAGGTCGCGGGTCCGCGGGATCACACATCTTGGCCTCACGGGCGCACTGTGTCCACAGCTCTGGGAGGGACCCGAGTCCTGTGAGTGGAGCAAGAAGAAAAAGCCTGACCTGGTCCCGCTGCCCTTCACACCATGCATTTCCTCAACACAGCAGGTCACCTTCCCTCTGAGCTACTTCTCCGCCCCACTACCTTGGATGACTGACACCATCACCACCATCGTCCCGTGGGTCCCCATGGCTCCTATGGCACCCCCAGCTTCAAAGCTCAAACCCCGCACCTTCTGCCCCTCACCACCTCCCACTCCCAGCTCAGGTCCTGCTGTCTCCACTTGTCTAGACCCACTTGCAGGTCTCCTGACTCCACGTCTGCTGAGAACCGGGGGAAAGACAGTGAAGTCAAGAGGCCTCCCCTTGGGTGCTCCCCTGGGTCTTCTTTGAAAGCAGGAGATGATTTCATCCTCAGCGAAGGAAGGATAGAGAGGTCTGGAGGTGGAGAAGACATGAGCAAAGGTTGTAAGGGCGAAGAGCTAGGCTTCCCAAGAGACGGGCCAAGGTCACCCAAGGGCAGAGACGGCCTTGGGTGAAGATCCCTGTGGCACCAGCCTTCCAGGAAGGTATTTAAGCAGCTCACAGAATTAAAACATGCATAATACTGCAGGTCGAACTACACCGCGAAGAGCAGAAACCAACTAGAAAGCGTTGGACAGAGTTTAACTGACACTAAATTTGGGGATGGGATGTTTTCTAGAAGCCCTGAAACTAGATTCCCCAGCCACAGCCCTTGAAAGAAGGACCGGGGAAGTGGACTGGTGACTCTGTCTTTAAAGCAGGGCATGCTGACTGCAGCACACGGGCCCGTTTTTATAAATAAAGTTTTATTGGAACACAGCCTTGCCCATCCTGGGACATCTGCTTTCCATTACAGCACAGAAATGAAGTCTTGTGAAGGAGGCTGTGTGGCCTATAAAGCCAACACTTACTATCAGACCTTTACAGAAAGGGCGCCAGCAGCCACTTCCTGCTGCAAGGCCTCCTCCATAAGGGGCCTGAGGTCATGGCACAGACCACGCCTGTCACACAGCGTGGGAGGAAGAAGTGGGGTTCTCTCCTCCCCTCAGAAAAGATTCAGATCCCAGTAGACTAGCATTATCCAGGAGACTTTCTTCTCTATCTCCTTCGTTGATTGGRTGATTTGATCCCCGTTAGCCTGGAAAGGTCCCTGGGCTAGTGAGCTACGGAGCCAGCAGTCGCCATTAGATCACCTACCCCTTGGAGATAGATGAGAAAGCACTTGCATTTTAGTGTGATGTTGTAGCTGGCTTTATTGCAACTGAGAGGTGAACAGAAGGAGCTGTAGGTCCTTCTTTGACTTCTAAAAATAAAGGAAATAAAACTAATAACATTGAGGGTTAAAAAAAAGGAAATGAGATTATTGTTACTGTCAATTTTGTTGTATAAATTATATACTGATAACACTGGGGAGGTGATTCTTCCCTCAGCGCCCACCGGGAGTAGCAGACGGCTTATGGCGAGGCTGCGTCTGTAGTTTCCAGCACAGCTCGGTGTGGGCTGATAGGGGCAGTCTTAAGAGACTCGTCCAGAAACCTTTCTGACCATTGCTTTTGCCTTATTAATCAGAAATAGCAAGAATAGAAAAGGAGATCAGTGAACCGTTTTAACARGTACCAAAATCCAACGTCTCTGTAGTGGGGTGTGGGCTGGTGGAGAGCCAAAGACAGCTCATTTTAYTCCCCTGAAATTTCTCATTCTTTTTTTTTTAACTAATGCATTATTTGCATACGATAAAATCCACCTGGTTTAAGGGTACAGTTTGATGAATTGCGTTGACCATCCTCAATCACGAGCCACACCCCTTTGCTATTGATCCTTTCCCACCGCCAGGCCCTCCCTGATCTGCTGTCTCTAATGATAATTTTGCCTRTTCTAGAATTTCCCAGGGTGCATCACTATTCTGTTCCTTTTTATTGTGAAACATGTTGCAGGCAGAGACAGAGCCTGAAGAGGCTCGGAACATGAATAGAACGGGCCATCCTCTGCCTGCAGGTGGCCCCGGGTCATGCTTTGTAGAGCAGCCATGGTCCCTTCAAGTGATCTGACTGCATGGACAATGATAGGTGACCTTGAGGGATTTCTAGGTGCCACGCACATGCAAGCAAGAGCTTTACATAAATTACATAGATTACCTCATGTAATCATCTCAGCACGGCTAGGAGGTAGGATCATTTACATTATGGTCTAAATTGACTTAAGACGGGGATTGGAGACTCTAATTTGAAAACAAAGGGATGGAGACTAATTTAGTGGATTTTATTCAGTCCAAAATTTGTTTTAATTTTTAACCAATTTGCCCCCTAAGGGACAGTAGGAAATGTCTAGAAACAGTTCTCATCCTGGTATCTGGGAGGATGCTGCTAGCGGCACCTAGTGGACAGAGGCCAGGGCGCTGCTGAGCATCTGCAGTGCACAGGACACCTCAGCGCCAGAGGCATCCACCCCAAGGTCACCAGAAGCCTGCCTCCCAGGGTCTCTAGAAACAGTGAGATTTGGGAGGCAGCCCAGCCTTGAACAGTCCATCAGCTTGTGACCATTTAGAAAAGAAAAAGGACTGAGTGTCCAACTACAGAACCTCTGAAGGATGTTCCTCCTTTTGCTCCTTCAAAAATGCTCCATATTTCACAACTGTCTTGCAATTTGGCTGCAAATGAGACCCATCCCTTGTGGCAAATCTAAGTGCCACATCAAAACCTAGAAGTTGTGAGCAGAATGGAGGCCATCTTCAGCGGGCCCTTGTGGGCAGAGGCAGGACGGCGGATTGCAGGTAGCTGACAGAGGCTGGTGCGCATGTGCATGCCACCCACAGTCTGACAGGTCCCCTCCTCTCACTCTCCTGATGGCACAGGACTCTCTGTAACAGAAGCCCGGCGTGGACAACTGGCACTGGAGACAGGATGGTTTCYACTGCTTGGAGAAACCCCGGTCCTGGCTGGAATCCATGCTCAGCTCYGCAGGAGCTGCCTGGGCTTGGAAGTGCTTGCAGGGAATGAGGTAGAAGGAAATGCTTCACCTCAGCTGGATCTGGGCATCCTCAAGGAGCGCCTCCCGGCTGACAGCTGAGCTGGGTAGAGCAACAGTCTCCATCACTGGGCCCGTCCTCTCAGGGGGCCTGAAGAAATGGCCAAGAGCAGGAACTGGGCTACTGGGCTGCTATACACACCTTACATGCATGTCACCCTCTGTGACCTTTTCCATTGAGTAACATGCTCTCACAGCTCACAACTCTGCTACAYGGTGCCTCTTGTCCCTGGGRGCACAGTGCTGCACACCTGTAGTTGGTTGATAATGGCTTTCAAAGCTGTCCTCTTTCTGATCCCTGGATCCAGGAAACATGGCATCCTACMTGGTACAAGAGACTTTGCAGGTTATTAGGCCAAGGGTGGTAAGATGGGTGGTGGCCCTGAGTTAGCCAGGTGAGCCAATATCATCACAAAGTCCTCACAAGAGGGACAAGGAGATATTGGTTATATGAGCCGCATGACGGTGAAAACAGAGGCAGATGAGAGAGAAGATGCTATGCTGTAGGCTTTGAAGGATGGGGATGCGGACATCTGAAGAGCTGGGAAAGGCCAGCAGGCAGACGGACCAGCCCTGCTAACACTGAGCTTGCTCTGTAAGACTCATCCTGGACTCATGACCTCCAGAACTGTCAAATATATTTGTGTTGTCTTAAGCCACAACATTTGTGGCCATATGTTACCACAGTAATAAAAAACAAGCATAATATTCTGTGACCAAATATATATTTATGGGACAATCATCAGTATCTTAGCTACAAGTCCCCTTGCTCAGCATTTAGCACCGCTGTGCTAATGTGCATGACTAGGCTCATTGGTAGCAAGGCTAATTGCGACTGTTGGCCTCAGAGGAGGGACTTGGCATCTGACGTCATCATTAACGTTTTCAAAGAAATTCAGTGTGTATGTGTGTGTGCACGCGCGCGCATGCTGGGGATGGAACCCAGGGCCTCATGCGTGCTAAGCGTAAGTTCTGCCTCTAAGCTGCACCCCCAGCCCCAAGTCCAGCTTCTTAACACATAAACCAGCAGCACCATTATTCTCTCTTCAAATGTCAAGCTAGAGAGAAAAAATAAATTCCCCAAGGTGGTGCGGTGTTTGTTACAGCTTGTCAGTCACTTATCCAGTGTTTAGCTAAAATGTTTTGAATTAAGTTGTGATATCCGAGACCTAACTCTGAGCCTTTTCCATTCAGGTCTGTGAGAACTCCTGACATCTGAAGCTTGACTCCCAAGTTTCCATAGCAACAGGAAAAAGAAAAAAAAAAAACCTATCCAAATCTGAAGATTGCCGTTTACAGCTATTGAACTTCACAACTAGGCCTCAATTGTTCCAGGTTTCCATTTTCTTTGCGATTTCACTTAGTCTGTACTTCACCATTTTGACAGCATCTTCCTTCCTCCTTTAATTAATGAATCCTCTGAATTTTCCCTGAGTGTTTATAGATCATGACATAGAACTTGACCTTTGGGAGCAGGAACAATGACTACTTTTTCTGATGTGTTGACACGTTGCTAGCCCTGCTCCTCACATCCAGCTGTGTCTGTGGGTGCGCATCTGTGTATGTATGCGTATCTGTCTGTGTGTACACACGGTATTTATAGAGAGAGACTGTACAGGAGAAGCCTAGTTTTGATGTGCCATTCTTCTTGAAAGGTGAAACAGAGGGGGCAGAAGCTGAGACAGCTAAACCTCCAAGGCCTCAGTAAAACCTTGGCACAAGTACACACCGCCGAGCAGTCACCTCTGTCCTGCAGCCACGTCCCCAGCAGCCCCCTCGGTCTGAAGGCTGAATGCTGAATGACCAGCGGGCAGGTCCCTAGAGAGGCAGGGCAGAGAARGAAGTCCTTTCTCATTAGTGTGAGGACCGCCACCAACTCCCACTGCCACCAAATGCCGTGATCCTGAGCCATGGCGGTGAGGGCAGAGCAGGAAACCATGCCACCCAGTGCCAAGGAGGGGCTGCCACACTCCTTCATGGACACCAGTGTGCATCGGTGTGCAGCCTGAACCCAGCGGGACGCTGGCTCTTGTGGCGACTAGGATCGTGGTGGAGAACCTCCCCTCTGTGCTATGTGCACGACTGCAAATCATCACAGAGGGGAGACGTGCATACCAAGAGGCCAACAGGTACCATCTTGTATACACATATATGCCCACATGTATAGACATGTATGCACATAAACACCGTTCGTTTCATGTATACAGGCATAAAATAGAGTAAATACAGGTAGTTTTAAAAGTACCCTTTTGTGTGAATTGACTACCGTTGTTTGCAAACCTGAAAATAAAAGATGTTCATTATGTATGAGAAGTAATTGATTTTTATTCTGTGAGCATGTAAAAGTAAGAGGAAAGTTAGTTCTTGTACTAAGATTATCTTCTTGTTGATAAACTGTAAACGAACCATCTGAGCTCACACCAAATTTTTCTATCAAATGAAACTAGTGACAGCCTGTGGCTTTTTATTAGAGCTTGCCACGAGCTAGGGTAAGGTAAGTGTCTTAGCATATTTTAATGCGGTTGCTTACTAAAGGTTTTAACCACACACACACACACATGCACACCCACGCTTTCTTATGCAATCTATGTTTGCCCTGTGCTTTTCAGTTAGCCTTTTGCAGGAAGTAGAAGTCACATGTTGTCTTTGTTGTAGTGAAATTATGCAGATAGAGTTCCATATATTGTATTTGTTTCAATAGTAAATCTTTTTGGAACATATAGAATGCAGAGATTTTTTTTTCCATTAAAATAAATGGGTATTGGTGGTTAAAACTGCTGGGCAGTAGCTTTTCTCTGATTTTATGTGTGTCTAATATCACTGATACCGGGTCTGGTCTTGGAGAAGTTCACAGTTTTGAGCTCCGGGGCCTCTGCACTCCCTGTTGGGGGCATGGGTCTGGGAAGCCAGAAGCACCAGCTCACCGCTGGTCTTGGGCACCTTACTCATGTCACCATGACTGAAAAGTTGGTGGCAACTCACAGACAAGGGCACTGTTCTCAGGTTGATGACCATATTTAGCAGTCAGTGATGTGTCCATAGTCCCAAGACATGGGGATCTTCTCTTGAATAAGTCCCAGTGCTTAATCAGGGGACATCACACCTTCAACATGACATGACCATTATCCACCAGTGCAAGAAACCACGCGGGGCAGGGACTCTAAGTCTGCGCATGCACATCTTATAAGATTTCCCCCTTGGGCTTTAGAGGGCACAACCATCTGCCTCCTGGTACACCTCACTGCCCTCCTGCTGCTGGGCCAAGGGAGAATGTTCACCATTGAACGACCCAAGGAGGACCCAGCCACAGCCAGGTGGTAGACAGCCTGACCCACCTCCCACCTGACAATCAGAAAGCTCACCCACCAGCTGACCTTGAGCCATCTCCAGGGGGAAATACAGAAGGAAACAAAGGGTAATGCTCTTGCTTCTCTCCCAAGCCAAGACCTCCTGTCCTTGGCAGGCCACAGAGGCGACACCACTTAGCTTGGAGCGGAGAACAGCTTGTGGGCCCCGTTCCTCATGGACAGGTAGAACTCACCTCAACTCTTCCTTATCAGGATGGAGATATTTCCATAGCGTTGCTCTTCCTAATCCTTCCCAAAGAAGAGAAAAACAGGTGGATCTCAGAAGCCTAAGTGGGGTGTGTCCGGGGTCGCAGGAGGTCTCAACATGCTAGGACGTGTTATATTGTTACCAAATGCACAAGTAGAGCTGAAATGGGATTTTACTGTCCCCTGGCATTTCTCTATGTCTGCATTACTTTCTAAGAAGTCAAGTAAGAGCAAGAAACTACTTTCCCAGTTACTGAGCCCAAGACTGGGGATTTAATTTCCATGAGCCATGGCCACACTTTGCTTCTTTATACGAGCACATCAACCCCACTAGCTGACCCAGAATTACATTTTCCCTCCATTTTACATATGACAAATTAATGATAACAGATCATTTATTTCAATAAGAATATGAAAGTGTTGTCTAATTTTGATCAGAGTCATTTCCAGGGCTACAAGTTCTCCAAATGAGCGTCACTTCAGGCAGATACACCTGCTGCATCCCTCAGCCAATGCCAGCTAATCTGAACATCACAGCAAAATAAATCCAGTTAATTTTCATGGTAGGTATCAAATAAGGCTTTGACTCTTAAAGAACATTGTAGGAATTATGATAGCTCATCTCAGACTTTCAAAATGTCCTTTTACACAGTCTGATGGATGGAATAATCATTGATCATCAAAGTTACAGAGTAGATGAAATTGTGTTTCAGCCAAAACAGATAAATTAGATCCTGAATTTGGGATGTGACAAGTCAAATCCTGTTAATAAGTCTGCATTGGACGCTGGGCTCAGTGTGGTCCCACCCACAATCAAGCTGTCCAGATGACGGAGAGAAAAGCAGTCTACGCTTTTGGGCTGTGTGGACAGGGAACAAGAGGCGATTGGTAATGACAGTTTCCCTGTTGGTTGCCTGTTCTGAGGCTTCTCCATACAAAGCTCTTCCTGTGTAGGTCAGCTCAGCCACACAACAGCCACACCCCGCAACAACAGTCACCTCCCCGATTAGACGAGAAGGAAGAGGAGACTCCAAGCAGCCAAATGCTTGTGAAGGCAAGCAGTTGCCAGAATCAAAACCCAGGCCCCTGGCTCCGGGACTCCTGCTCTTCCTGCCACATACAGTGCCACTCCTAACTCAGCCTCAAAAACCAGACGGAAGGCCTGGCGCAGACCAGGAACTGTCTGCAGCTTGGGCTGCAGGGGCTCTCTGTCCAGCCAGCTTCCTCCTACCAGGCACCTCTTTCCAACGCTCTCTACCATGAAATGCCTGGTGCTTTCTAATTCTGATAATGTTCTTGAAAAACTGTTAACAATATTCTAAGTTAATATTGGAACCTTAGAAAAATTTTCTATGCAAGATATCATAACTTCTTGAGTATCCTTGCCTCCTCCTTTCCATGGCTGGATAGCAAAGTATGAAGAAGCTTCTGCCAGATTAATTCAGGACCTTGATTAGCCAAAAGTAAATTCACATTCCCTTATAGGAGGGTTGCTGAGCTCACCACGCCTCTGGTCCATTTGGCTAGACCTGCTCAGGGCCGGGTGTTGGTGAGACACAGCCCAGGAGTAAGAATAAAGTCATTCTGCATGGATAACATGCAGCAGTGGGGTTACTGAGGGTCAAAGGCGAGGCTACAGAACAAAACCTGTTGTCAAGCACAAGTCCGTGCTGTTGATGGAAAAACATAACTTGTCCCTCCTGAAATCAAAATTTTCAGAGAATTTTAAATGTACTTGTTCATAAATACCCAAAAGGGATAATAATTTATCTTCTTCAAATATTCAACTTGATCGCAGGTGCCAATCTTTCAAGCCCTGGTTGCTGAACTTGACAGTTTATGAGCTATAAATGGGCAGTTGCTCTATTGCGTAGTTGCAAATGAATTTGTTGCTGGTTTTTGAAATATTCAAGTCATGGTTAATGGGAATTCCATCCCGTGTGCATGGCCTAGACAAGCTTCAACACTGTGAGGTCCAAATACAGTGACCAAGCAAAAGGACACAGCTTCTAGCAGTGCTTGAGTTAACCTGTGGCGTTTAGGGACTGTGACAAAGTCAAGTGCTGTCAGCTTAAGAATCAGCTCTTCTTCCTTCATAATAGGCAAGTCCTTCTCATGTGGAAAAACAGACAGATGGCAGCTAGATAGACAGCAAGAAGCGTGGAGAGATACCGAACAACAAAGAGAAGAGGAAAGCGTTCATACTTAACTTTGGTTGGTTTGTTTAGTTTTTGGATCTGGGGATTTAACCCAGGGACGCTTGCCACTGAGCCACATTCCCAGCCCTTTTTATTTTTTAGTTTTTTGAGACAGGGTCTCTCACTAAGTTGCTTAGGGCCTTGCTAAGTTGCTGAGGCTGGCTTCAAATTTGCAATCCTCCTGCCTCAGCTTCCCAAGTCTCTGGGATTTCAGCAGGCACCATCACACCCAGCTAAGTGTTCATTGAATAAATGCCTCCTGTGGAATAGACACTTCATGTATTTATATTTGTATGTACATATTACATTACACATCGAGTATATAATTGATATGTAATGTACATATACATAAGTGTACGTGTAATCACACAATTTATGTAACATAAAATAGACACTGTCTCCACTCTACAGATGAAGACTCTGATGCTCACAGTTAAAGTTCTCATGTGCCAGGAGTCATACCTGCTGAATGGTGGGCATGACCCCACTCTGGTACTTTTTCTGCTGACCCTATGACAGCACCACCACATATGCCACTAGGAACAAAAGGATGAGCTGGTGCCATCACACACCACACGTGAAAGTGGCAATGACTAAATAAACCTGGACCAGCAGGCCAAGCAGAAGAGAAGAAACCCGAACCTGTGCCGATGGCTGTCTTCCTCCTGGTAGTCTGTCTCCAGGAGACTGCTAAATAAATACAAAACGATTTCTTGGCAGCCAGTCGTGGAGACACTAATTTAGAAAATTGCCTCAAATGAACATAAGCAGCGTAAACCAACACTCCAAACCACCAGCACAGCAATCGAGACGATCAGGACACCACTGATCAACGCGCTTCCCCGGGAAAACGAGTTCCCAGGCCTTCTGTAGACAGCCGAGGAGGCCAAGGCCCCCTCTCGCCTTTATACACAGTCCACCCCGTGCAGGGCAGCAGGTGCACTCGGCAGAATCCAGCCAAGCCTGGTTCTCACTGGTATCCCAGCCAAGAGGACGGCACTGGGACGATGGTGCTTCCAAAGTAAATCTGCCCAGGCTGGGCTGTTTTCTCTGACCAAGCCCTGCATCTGGCCCTGGGCGAGGCCTGCATGGGTGGATGGTGAGTTCCGGCCCCTAGGGCTGCCCTGGAGGATTGCTCCACACACAACAGGTACCCAGCACCCACAGGAATCCCACACCATCCTTCCTGAGCTCAGTCCCCCAGAAGCCACCAGATACCCCCCATTCAGCAACACTTCCCCTTGCTTCTCCTTTTCAAATAACAGAACCAGGTGCCGTCAAAGCCAACACACACTCGCTTCCCTTTCACTCCCCGTCTTCTCCTATGGCAGAATTTGCAGGCTTTAATCCCACGAGGGTGTGTTCACAATTCAGCCACATCCCTACCCCCCACCCCTCACTCACTCTGCACTTCAAAATGCCAGCCGGGCCTCAGCCACAACCCCAGTGTCAAACTAGATAATTTGAAATGCATGATTTTACTTATTTTTTCAAACTGTACATCACTAAGAATAAAAAAACAACGTCACTTGGCCACTAAGATAGCAATCAAAATAAATACAATGAAAACAAAAGAGAGAGAGAGAGAGAGAGAGAGAATAATTGCCTGTTAAGTAGATACTATGTCTACTCAAGACACAGGGATGAGACTCTCTGTTCAAAGGAAAGGTGAATAAATCGGGGTTCAAGAGGTCTCAAAGACATAGTGAAGTCCAGCGAGACTCTTTGTCACAAACACCCAAGAGCTGAAGATGAAATTAGGAGATGCTGCTGTGTAGGTCACACTGTGTGACGTCAAGTCCACGGATCATCCAGAATCATCTGAATAGCAACAAAAGGAACAAGAGTATGTCAGGAGGCGGGTACAGAACCGCCAGTGACCTGTCCTTCTCTTTCTGGAGCCCTGGTTGTGAAGCAGAAGCTCCAGAAGGGCCCAGATCCTTCGGGGTTCACCTTGGGCGGGGTGGGGGGGGGGTGTCTCCATTTACTTTTCCACTTTCATCTGCTGAGAGGAGAACTCCAGGAAGCAGGAAGTGAGGCAAAGAAGCAAGCTCTGGAATTGATGGCAGAGAACTCCGTCCAGGACGCAGGACTCTGCCTTGGACAAATACACAGCCCTGCAGGTGAGGAAGGGCATGTCCTCCTGAGACAGAAAGGCCTGAAGTCACACAGGTGCTATCACAGTACTTGTGACGGGACGCAAAGGAGACTAAGGGATTTTGACTGAGAGTCTGTTTCCTCCGTAGGTAAGGTCATCCTCTGAGTGAGGGGACTCAAACAGTGGGTTTGGGGAGCCTGGAAAGGTTTGGAATGGCCATGAAGGGCCAGGAGCCTGAGCCACCCAGGCCTCCAGAAGGATGAGGTCTCCTACTGTGAAAGCCAGGGGCAGGCTCCTGCTGCCACCTGAAAGAAAAACTGCAAGGTGAGCAGCAGCTCAGACCCAGGGGCGGGGCCTAACAGAGCCGCCTTGGATGCAACCAGAAAGAACAAGTTGGAACTTGTCTAAGCCTTGCCACCTGTGATCACTCCTGCTCTGCTTGCTGGAGGCCAACACACAAAACCTCAAGCTCCTGCAGCAATATATGCCTGGACACCTGCCTTAGTGTGTCCCCGAGAAAGGAGTGTGGAGAAGGGTCTGGCTTGAACCAAAAAGCTTCTCTAAAAGCACTGGGATAAATCGCTCCCATAAAACCAAGCCAAGKTGAAAGGGGAAAAGAGAATCACAGCATGCAATTAACCTAGAAAGAGGAAAAAAATGCTAAGAGGAGGTAAAGACAACTCAGGCCCTACAGTGAAAGTTAAACGTAAGGGTTGCTCTGAACTGAAGTTTGAAAGGTAACTGCCAACACCTCATGCTACAGTCGTTTGGTTAATGTGAGCCAGGTTCAGGATGTCCCCATGAAGCACCACCAGCCACCAGTCAGCCAGTGAGGTTCTTGGGTAAAGTAGCTATTTAACTTAGTCTCCATGCAGAGAAGGCATGCCGCCTTCTCTTTTAAGTGCAAAAAGTACATAATTAAATAAAGTGTTAAGTCTGTTTTGTTATTTATGCAAAGAAAATTTCAATCTCTGTTTAAAAGAAAAAAAAAGCCTCAGTATCCCCCCAGAGGGAAGGAAAGAAAGCAGGGAGAAAGCACGAAAGGATCAAGAGGCTAACTCACTCCAGGTCCTGGCACTAATTCGTGTTCTTGCATTGCTTGAGATCAGATCTTACTAGAATCCCTCTCCAGGTTCTGGGTGATCAGCTCCAAGCCAAGAAGCCTGAGGCCCTACTAGGCCTTGGTACACACTAACCGACACTTTTGGAAACTCTATAAGCTAACACAAGTGGGTACTGTGGGTACCACCACATGTTGTTAAGGTTGTGTCACTTTACCAAYCACTACGGGTTGAACTGAGTCTCCCCAGACAAGACCTGTCCAAGTCCTAGCCCTCAGTAGCTCAGAACGTGACATTGTTTGGAAATAGGGCAATTACAGATATTATTAGTTAAGACGGAGTCATACTGGATTAGGATGGGCCCTTAATCCAAACTGTCCAGGGTCTTTATAAGAGAGACACAAGCACTGGGACAGAGGCCATGTGAAGACAGAAGCAGAGATGCAYCTACARGCTAAGGAATGCCAAGGACGTTGGCCATCCCCAGAAGCTAGGAGAGGGATACAGACAGGGCCTCCCTCAGCAGGAGTAGACCTGCCTAACCCCAGGAGTTCACGCTGCAGCCTCCAGAACTGCAAGACAATAAATTTCTGTTGTTTTAARCCACTGTTTTAGGGCGCTTTGTTACAGTGAGGTTCTATATACCAACCCTCAATCTCAATGTATATAGGGAACATTCTCAAGACATGGTATAGCAAAAATAAACTCACGCTTGAAGAGTGAGAGTACAGAATTCTAGGCAGTCTTCAACTTCCTCAGACTTGAGTCCCTGGGAGACATTTTGCAATGTTTGGAAGATATTTTAGGTTGTCTTAACTAAGGGTGCAGCAGAGGAGACACTGCTGGCATCTAGTGGGTAGAGGTCAGAAGTACTGCTCAACATCCTACAGGGCACTGGGCACCCTCTGCTACCAACAAGGAATTATCTGGCCCTGATGCCAACAGAGCTGCTGTTGAGAAACACTGCCCTAAACTTGGGAAACTGAAGAGAATTCTAGAATGATGGAAAAAGTAAAAGATGTAGTTGACCAACATCTTCCACTTCCTTAATCTGATTACCTCATTCAGCTCCTCTGTGTCTGATTTTTAAACTTGTAAAATGGTGGTAATTATATCACAGAGGTCTTTTGAGGTTTAAAACACGGGTATGTTGCTGGGTACAGTGGTGCACACACACCTGTAATCTCAGTGGCTGGAGAAGCTGAGACAGGAGAACCACAAGTTAGAGGCCAGCCTCAGCAATTTAGCAAGGCCCTAAGCAACTTAGTGAGAACTTGTCTCAAAATAAAAAATAGAAAGAGCTGGGGATGTAGCTCAATGATAAAGTACCCCTGGGTTGAATCCTCAGTACCAAAAAACAAAACACAGTTACAGGAAAGCATTCTCCAAATACAAGTTATCATCAACCCTTATGAAAAGTTTTGCAGGCCTAGCACAGGAAGGCAGATCTCTGTGTTAGGACTGGGGTAAGGGATAGGTGGTAAGGGGCAGCAGTGAGGCTGCAGTGGGGCATAACTAGGGAGGGCCTTTGAGTCCCACTGTCCATGGCCAAYTCCGGTCCAGTTTGTTATGGACGCTGGTGGGCCTTGTAGCTGCAGCTGACCCCAAAAGAGCCCTCAAAAGAAGTAAAGGATGTGAAGATCGTTGGACCATGCCGGCGTACAGTGAAGGACTCTCCTGGTCCTCAACACCCCAATCCTCAACCCCTCCGCCTTTACTAAACCAGAACCTGCCCTAAAGGCCAGGCAGCATCGCCTGCGGGGGAGGAGCCAGGCTCTCAAGTGGCTGGGGCTCGGTTCCACGGTGTGGAACTGGAACACAGGCGCAGGGAATCCACTGCCACTAGAGAGGACGCCTGCCTCTCGGGGCGGGATGACAGAGGGCCCAGGGCTCCAGGGCCCAGGCCTGTCTCTTGGCCCAGGGCGTTGATGAGGGGTTCTGTAGGGTGGCAGGATCCGACAAGGCGCCCCTGCAACCGAAGGGAACCAGCTGCCTCTCGCCAGGGTCCGGGAAAGGGCCAGGGCCATCCCCCAACTGCTCTGCTCATTCCAGGAGCCCTGCTCTTCCCGCCATGGGCCGGGTCCTCCGCGGGACCAAGCCTGGTGGGCGGGGCCTTGAGGCGAGGGCGGGGCCTTGTCTCGGAACGGAAGCGCCCGGCCTCGCGGCCCTTCCGGCGCGTGACGTAGACTACCGCTCCCACAATGCCCCGCGGTCCCGCGAGCGTGCTGTCTCCTCGCGAGAAGCGGGCGGCTGGGGGCGTCTGCGCGGACCAACGGAAGTGTGGGTGACAGTCTGAGACCTCGCCGCCAAGCTGGGAACCGGAGAGATGGCCGAGACTGACCCCAAGACCGTGCAGGACCTCACCTCGGTGGTAAGGGGCGGCCGAGCTCAGGCCCGCGACCCCCTGCCCTGCCGCGACCCCGCGCGGGCCTCGCCTTCCCCGCCCGGCAGCCGCCCCGCGCGGACCCGGCTTGCGAGCCCAGCCGGCCTGTGGGYCGGACCTGACCGAGCGGGGACCCGGGCCCGAGAGCGGATGCTCCGCGGAGGCCGAGCCGGGCTGGAACCCGGGAGGCTGGGCTCCCGCCCTCCCAGCCAGCCGTCCCGGGCTGGGTTGGATTTTGCTCGTTTGCTTTGGTTTTTAGGTGCAGACACTCCTGCAGCAGATGCAAGATAAATTTCAGACCATGTCCGACCAGATCATTGGAAGAAATATCTTTTTTTCTCTGTGGGCATTCTCCTAGGGACCTTGGGAGCCCACCCGCCAGAAGTGGTGGTCAGTGGGTGGTTTACAGGCCCGCTTCAGCCAGTCACTTAGAAATTCCTTCCCTGGGCTTTCTGAGAAGGACTGCTGAGGCCTGGGGCTGCAGCTGAGCTACACAAGTTCCTGGTTCAGGGAAACGACAGTCCGTTGGTGACAGTTGCTAGTAGGGTCAGTTGTTGGCTGTGAGCCATAACCTTATGAATGGGCTATGAAATTGCCAACTTTGATTAGTGAATGAAGAAACTGAGGGTCAGTAGAGTTGAGAGAACTTGCCACTTCCCATGACTAGTTAAGGGTGGGGCTGGAATTCGACCAGACTCCTGCACTCCTAACCACCTGACCACAACAGTATCCAAAGGACATTGGGGAAGCCAGTTTCCTTAAAACGGTTGTGTTTAAGACCATAATCAAGGGGACCTGGAGGAAGAGAGTAAGGAATGGGACATGTTGGTGTGCTTCCTGCCTTATCCTTAACTTCACCACTTGATGATATGAGTAGTCGCATTGATGATCTGGAGAAAAACATCGCAGACCTCATGACACAGGCTGGGGTGGAAGAACTGGAAGGAGAAAACAAGATACCTGCCACACAAAAGAGTTGAAGGTGAGGAAGGACACAACTAATTAATTTTTTTAAAAGAATACAGAAATAACCTGTGACTATGATCTTGACGTTGTCAGTACTTTCTCTAGATCAGTTTCCAGTCATGATCCCAGCACCACCCCTCTAACACAGACTCCATATTTTGAAGATTTTCATGCCAAACTAATAATTCCTTATATAGAATTTATTTTCCCAGTTTTTGTTAATGAGACCTATGTCACCGGTTTTTATTAGTTTTTTTTTTTTTAATCAGTTAGACCTATATCATGGGCTCACTGTAGGAAAACTCTGTATCAGTTCAGTAATAACAAATGTGGTTTTTCTTGACCTTTTTTCAGTGGAATATTTTTCATTGGCCATTTGTTTTTTATCATTACTATTTTTTATTTATTTTTGTTTGTTTAACTTGTTTTTTTAAGCAGGTGATAAGTCACCCACATTATCACCTTCTTAAATGCCTTACATTTTAAGGACTTCTTGGGAACTTATGACATAGAAGAGCTAAACTGGGGCTGGGGATGTGGCTCAAGGGGTAGCGCGCTAGCCTGGCATGCGTGCTAGCCTGGCATGCGTGCGGCCCGGGTTCAATCCTCAGCACCACATACCAACAAAGATGTTGTGTCCGCCGAGAACTAAAAAATAAATATTAAAAAAAAAATTCTCTCTCTCCTCTCTCACTCTCTCTTTAAAAAAAAAATAAATAAATAAATAAAGTCCACATGCTCTCTCTTTAAAAAAAAAAAAAGAAGAAGAGCTAAACTGGCTACATTAGGCCTTTATTCTTGACTTGATTAAATTTCCACAGAATCATTTTAGATGTCTAATAAAAGACAAATTTGTATACCCATGTAGCAAGACAGATGCACTCTCATCATTCAATACAGTGAGTTTGTTCATTGTAGGCCTTTGCCTGTGTTTATATGTGAGTGTTGGTGGTGACCCATTAACCCCCCCCCCATTTTTATGTATTTATTTACTTATTTTTAATATTGAGAGTTGAACCCAAGGGCACTCTGTGGCTGAGTCCTTTTAATTTTTTTAAGACAGGGTCTGCCTAAGTAGCTGAGCCTGCCTTCAAATTTTCAATCCTCTTTCCTCAACCTCCTGAGTAACGGATTACAGGTGTGCGCCATTGCACCTAGCTCCAAAAATAATTTTTAAACTCACTTTATCCCATCATATATGTAGCATCTAATTCCCTACAGAAATTAAGATACCAAGAATATCATGTGATGAGAGTACCAAGCAGATTATACAGTGAAAGTTACCTAGTTCCCTTCTTATTTTCTGGTCTTGCCCTGGACCAAATTTCCAGGAACTAAGAAACAAATTTTTCTGAAGTACAAGAGATTTGGGAGGTCAAAGATATGTAAATTGGTTTGTATTTATACAATACATTGAGTTGATTCACTTTAAGAAAATCACATAACTGCTTTGTGTTATGTTGTTATTATTCCTACCTGGGGATAATTTGGAAAGTGCCCTACCAGTCTTAGCTTCTGGGGAATCTTATGTGGTAGTCAGAAATCCCATGAATTGAAAATTACAATTTTCAATTGCAGGATTGAAGATTATGACATGCAGGGATAACACACAGAAAGGAATGGGAATAGGAGATGGATTCTGAAATTTTTAAATAAAGATCTCTAATTAAATATTTTATTTTTGCTGGAATATTATACAAAGAAAGTATAATTCAATAAAGGATGACCAGAATATTTTTAGCTAACAATTCTGTGCATCATTGTTATTTACCTTCATATGATGAAAAACAGTATTGATGATGTTTCCTTCTTCAACAGGTTGCTAATTACCCTGAAATCTGGAACACCATTTTTCCAAGCCAAGAGAAGACTGAATGGCTTTTTGCAACTAACTACTACTAAGTGTAGACAGGTTTTATATTATAGTGCATTCTTATCACATATAATAAGTTTTTAGAGTGATTTTTCTCTCCAGTTTCTGGAACATGGTATCTTCACATCTTGAAACTTGGTCAGTTGTGCTCTTAATTATTAAACACTAAAATTTTGGCAGTTCCTGCATAAAATTGTCAAACTTTTTAGTGTATTTTTGTGAAGTCCTTTTTTCCTGCCATTCTTTTGTAGTAGTCGCTGTTTGATAAAAGTTGCTGTATAATTTTTTATTAGATAAGTAGTAAATCCTTCAATTATTGTTGGACTTGGTGAAGTAAAACATTTGTAGAGTTTGGATTCTTTCATTTTCAGCACAAAGTGACAGTTGTGCTAACACTAAATAATGTGTTGGCGATACTTTCCAAATGGCTAGAAGTTGTTTATTCAGAAGTGTCTGTCACTACTTTTTTGCCAAAACTCCATTGAACCGCAACTTATGACTAGTCTGTGAGATCAGATGCTAAAGTCAGTGAAAAGTAACCACTGCCACTGTACTGCGTTARCATTTTTAAATACAGGAAATACTCGAATAGCCTGATGTCATGAGGCATTCGTTAGAGTTTTGCATGAGATTCTAATACTTCAGTAGGCCTCTAGTTGTTCATCTACAATGGTTACCACAAAAAAAAAAGGGCAGGATTTTAAACTCAATTATTCCATCCTTTCTTTGAGCTACTGATAGAAAAAGAAGAGAGAATATTAAGTCTGTGCCAATCACTTGGCTAGAAAATTATGAATGACTGGTAGAAGGCTCAGGTTTTTGAACTATTTCTTACCTAAATTCTTTCAGAGTAATAATTTTTGTTACTGATTATAAAAGAGTTAATAACATTTGCCATTCAAAACTGCAGTGACCGTGGTCTTCATAAAAGCAAACCCAGAAAAGAGTAGGATTTAAATCTCCCATATCACCAGTCTTGTTTGTATTGCAAATATATAATATTAAGAAATATTTTGTCTTATTTATAGATTATATGGGGAAAACAGATTCTGTAATAAAGCCACCAGAATTGTCATCCAGCTGCAGCAGCTCTTGGGAGGGGCCAGCAGCAGGTTCTGCAGGGTGACCTGAGTGTGTGCTGCCCGGACTGGGCCCTGGGCCTGCTGTAGCCTGCATGCAGGATGTGTTCAGGGCTCTTGAGAGCAATAGAAAAGACAGGCTGCTGGTTATTGGAGGGTGGTGCGGACTTGGGGAGGAGTTGACTTCTTTGAAGTAACATATTTCAGAGGCCAAAAATAAAGGTGCCTGAAATCCTGCTATTGAAACTTCCTTGTGTCAACGTTTATTTGGTGATGGGTTTAAGCTTTCTCACTGTCGGGTTTCCAGGTCACTTCACCAAGATCTTTTCCTCCCTGCCACCTGGTTAGCATTTTGTTCGACTAGAATGGTGTAAATAGACAGGGAGGTGCCAACTAAACGTCCCAACAGCATTGGCTTCCATTTAGTGCTCAGCCCCTTCTCCCACGGGGGGACACCACATCCTTAGCCTGGTGTAAAACAGCGAATCACCTGGTGAGGCCTCCACCCTAGTACAGAGGGAAGGTTCCCCGCTTCTGAGATCACACCTGTGTGAAGTCGAGAACTTCACCTGCCAGCTAAGCTACCAGTGCCCTGAGTGCTCAGGACAGTACAGCTCCACCTAGGTGGGCCAGAGAAACCACTGCACTCTCCTGAGGACACCGCCTCCTCACGGTGTCATACACCCCCCAACCCCCGCCCCCATGGCCTCCGTCAACCAAACCCCTTCCACGGGCACCTTCACCAGAGCTTATATCTGCAGGATCCCGCCTGACCTTCCCCAGTCTTTATTTTTCTTTTGCAATGCTGGAGATTGGCCCAGGGGTGTTCTGCTGAGCCACATCCCTGGTCCTTTTTATTTTTTATTTTGGGACAAAGTCTAAGTTGCCCAGTCTAGCCTTCAATTTGTGATCCTCCTGCCTCAGCTTCCTGAGCTGCTGGCATTACCAACTTGAGTTATTGCCTCCAACTCCCTCCCCAGAAAGTCTTTGCTGCCCTCCCATTCTCCAGCTATCCTTTGCTCATTTATAGGCAGCAAAGGTGCCACTGAGGCAGGTAAGTACAGGTCAGTATGGAGGCCTGCACCCATGGGACCCAGCCTGATGATTGGCCAAGTGCCCTGTCTCCCAAGCCCAGAAGCCCTAATAGCTTCCTTGGTTGGCCCCTAATTAACTCCTTCAGCCACATAATTTTAAGGTCTTAATCATATTTTCCTATCAATTTTGTTTCTCTACTTTCACTACTGGCAAAATAGTCCCAGTGTTGACCTTATCAGAACAAGCATGCAATATTCCAGGTAGCTGAAGGCCCATCTGCCTCTGAGTCTTGGGAATCCTACCCATTCTAGAGGCACTGTTGCTATGGGAACCTAGTGTCCTCCAAACAACTTGAAAAAAAACTTTTTTAAATACACTGTTTGCAAGTTGAAGGATTCCTGCTTAGATAAGTATGGTCCTTTTTTAATTGTATTTTGCATACTTTAATTAGATTAAAATGGAAGAATTCTGCAATGTGTTGTCATAGCCAACCCTGAAAATTAACTGTCAACAGTAACGATTACTGAGAGCACCTATTGAAAGCATTTATTTTAAGCCCCTGTACTGTGCTAAGTGTTTTGTTTACACTGTGCCCTAATCCTCATGACTACATCCAGCTACATTTTAAAAGAAGGAACTCGGCTGGGCATGGTTGCACTGAAGTCACTGACCACAGGAGAGGACTTGTGATTGGATGTTAGTTTCCACCTGACAAAGCACTTTGGAAACAGGAAAGGCATTTGCTTCTGCAAGTCGGGGTGGTTTCCCTGCATAGGGGTGTCCTGAAGCTGAGGAGCCCAGGAGCGCCTCAGACAGGGCTCCCCTTGTCCTGCTGCTGAGACTGCCTTCTCCAGCATGCCCCGCTGACCAGAGCTGTGTATCTGCTGTGTGAAAAGGCACCACCCACCTCGTGGATGTGTTGTGGAGACCAGCTGGCTGTGTAGTGGCAGTTACTGCCTGAGGGGCATGGCCTCTGACCAGGTTTTCGGAGTAGCCTAGCAAATGTCCCTGCCCCAAAAGGAGGAAGAGTGCTGTTTCCCAAGAGTCAGGAGTAACCCGAGGTCAGCATGTGGGCTTGAGAAGCATTTTCTTGCCCACACAGAGAGCACAGCCCCTGCTCATGAAAGGGCCCATGGCAGAAGTCCTCCCGAAGGTGCCCCACTGAGAGCAGCTGGACCCCAGACTGTGTCCAGCTCGGTGCATCCTGCAGATAAAGAATGTGCTTCTCCCTTGCTTTTGTCCTTTCAGAGTGAAAAACTATTTCCTTGGGGGTGTTTCCACCCACACCCTGTGCGGGAGGCCAGTGCCTAAACCGTCCCTGGCAAATCAGACCTGCATGACAGGCTGTGCCCGGTGGTTCCCCTTTGTGGTTGTCACCAGGTAGGGGTTGGAGGTTGCTGAGGTTCAACATGGTGTGCGCCATCTCAGCCTCGCTGGCATTTAGTCCCACCGTTAGGAGGATGGGAACAACCTGAAGGTGGCCTGCGGGTGAGGCCTTCGGGGGAGCTGGATTAGGCAGAGCTGTCAGGGAAGACCACCCCCTGCCCAGTGCCCTGTGATGGTATCCTGGTGCTTCTGCAAAGAGGGAGGGAGAGGCTGGCGCTCCCTGTCCCCCTGTGCTGCCCTGCCACCGAGAAGGCCACCAGTGAGTGCAGCCCCTCCACCGTGAAGCTCCAGACCCCCGAGACAAAACAAGCCTCTTCTCTCTCCACCTTGGCTAGACTGTGGGGTTGTGCTGTGAGCAGCAGAAAATGAGTCAGTGTGACGGCTGGGGCCTCCTCGAAGCAACGGCCTGAGAGCCGCTTAACACCGGGGCCCACGGCCAGCCCCAGCCCTGTGGCCCCCCCAGGTGTCAGTAGTGCTGAGGTGGAGAGGCCCTTCCTTAACCCGCTAGTGATGCAAGCTGGGCTGGGTGAGTCTTCTGTCGGTTTCTGGACCCTTCAGGAGGGGAGATTCAAGAACAAAGAATTCTACCAGAGAGGAGAAGGGATGGCGGCTGGGTTTTGCTGATGGGCGTGGTGTTGGTTGCAGGCCTCCTAGATCAGTGCCAACTCTGGAGGTACGCACACTAGAGTCACCTCGGGTGCCTTTCACACAGTATGACCAGGCAGCGCCCAGGCCCATCCATCAGACCCCATGGGTGGCCCTGAAGGCCATGCAGTTAAGGCTGAGAACTGTGTGTGAGCAGGTCCATCTACACTGACTCTCCCGTGATGCGTTCCCCCAGGCAGGTGGCTTCTGCCAAGCTTTTGTAAACCTAGCTGACACTCCTGATTTGGACAGTTGCGACTTTGGCGCACATTATCTGACATTCAATTCAACTTGTGTCATTTTTACTTCAACTACTTGATTGTGTTTCCGCTGTTAGAACAAAAGGAGTTTGATTCCCTGGCAGGGATGACTTGTTAACCAGATTTGGCTTCAGGGAGGCCTGACGCTCAGGCTGCCTGCCCTGGGCTCTGGCCAGCTGCCTCACCTGCTTCCCCTGGTATGTCTCAGGAGCACGCGAAGGTCATTGACAGTATCGAAAACTGTGCCCGCTGGAATTTTCCTCCCTCTAATCGGACCTCAGAAGACCCATTCCTAAATCTTTGCCATAGTTTTACTACCTCTTACCTTCTACAGGTCTACACGAGTTTTCCAGAAAGAAACTCTAAACTTTCAATACCTTAAAGCTAAAGGCCTGTTATTGTGTGGAAAACCCAGTTGGTTTTGATGGGGAATCATCAATCATTCCTGGAAAATTCATGTGGTCATTTCTTTTAAAGATAAATTCTTCTGAAAACATAGACCATTTGACTGGTTCTGTTCCAAAATCTTACTGAGGCAAAGGACTGGCCTGAATTCTTTATGCAGCAGGAGCCCAGGCCTAGGCTGCGCACAGATTGTGGCTCGGGGTGGGGGACGCTGCAAAGCATGTCCTGACGAGCAGCCAGCCTTTCCCCTGGGTGGGCAGACGCTCCACTGGGAGCCAAACTCAGATGTTCCTCAATTAGAACCTGTGTTCATCAGGCCCCAGTGAAGAGCCTTAACAGGAAAGCCATCTGTCAAAATCACGCCATCTTGCAAGCAGAATTTTAAAGAGACCTGTGGTTACAGCAGGTCCTGCTGGGTCTGTGAGCCGCTCAGAACTGTCCTGGGGGCGGGGCGGGGGCGGATCAGCTTCACTGAAAGAATCACCCACCAGGGAAGGTCCTCTTAGGGGGGCCAATCTCATCTCCCCCACTCAGTGGAGGCTTAGCCACACTGTGACCTAGCCTTGTCTTTCCGTAGTGAAAAGGAGCCCCCAGGACCCCGCAGGCACAGGATTTCTGGAATCACTGACCGAGAACATTCCTCATCACAGACTCTGCCACAAACTTCCTGGGTTTATCCAAGCTAACCTGAGTTCCTGGACACGACCTGTTACTAACGCCCTAACAAGTTACTGTTTAGCAACTTCAGAATGTGAGGAATCTTTTTGGACTAGCACTAACAAGCTGGCCGGAAATGCTTTGAAACTAAAATCCAAAACACCCCAAATTGGTGTGCTAGTCGGTCTGCTTCTGTGCTGTTTGGGTATGTTTGCTTTGCAGTTCTGGGGATTGAACCCAGGGCACTCTGCACTGGGCTACATCCCCAGCCCTTTTTATTTCTTGTTTGAGACAGGGTCTCCCTCAATTGTCCAGGCTGGCCTTGAACTTGCATTCCTCCTGCCTCAGCCTCCCAAGTGGGGTCACAGACATGCCCCACAGTGCCCAGATTTCATGCTGTATTAAATATTGCTGTGACATTAGGCGTGTCCTTGCTTGGGAAATAACTCCACTGTCCTCTCTTGGGCTTTAAAATCTCCTTGGAAGATGCCCCTGTGTTTGGTCTGGGCATG